GTAAATTACGTAATTAGTAAAATCCTCTGCAACTCCGTGGATGTAGGCAATTTTCCGAATCACGTAAATCTGTGTGTTCCGTCCTGTTACTGTTTTTCTGATGTCAATTTTCTCGTTTTATTTTTCGCTTCATCATTGATCGTTTTACTTTATTTTATTTTATATTCCACAACAACTGGTATCAGAGCTTTGTTTCGGATCTGAGAAAGACGATGGATGCAGATGAAGTGAAGGTTTCAGGGATCGAGAAATTTCATGGCACAGATTTTGGTTATTGGAGGATGCAGATAAATGACTACCTCTATGGGAAGAAACTTCATCTTCCGTTATTGGGGTAAAGACCTGAAAGGATGGATGAAACTAAATGGAATTATTCGATTGACCCTATCGAGGTCCGTTGCACACAATGTCGCCAAGGAAAGGATGATTGTAGATCTCATGACAGTCTTATCAGGTATGTATGAAAAGCTATCGACGAATAACAAAGTGTACTTGATGAAGAAGTTATTCAACTTGAAGATATCGGAAAGTATTTCTGTTGCTCAACACCTGAATGATTTCAATACTATCACAAATCAATTATCGTCTATTAAAATTGATTTTGATGATGAGATACATTCGCTGATATTATTGACATCATTGTCAAATAGTTGGAAAGCTATGAGGATGACAGTTAGCAGTTTTGTCAGTAAATCTAAACTAAAATATGATGATATCCGTGATTTGATTTTGGCTGAGGAGGTGCGCAGGAAAGATTCTGGCGAGATCTCAGGTTCGAGTTCGACACTGAATGTTGATTTTAGAGGGAGATGACATGACATGAACTCAAATAGAGGGAGATCAAAATCAAAGTTTAGTCAGCAGACAACCTGTTGGAATTATGGCAAGCTGACCACATAAAGAGAAACTGTAGGATTCCCAAAAAGATAAATAATGATAGCGCAAATGTGGTATCTGAAGATGTGCAAGATGCACTAATGCTGGCCGTTCATAGTTCTGTTAATAACTGAATATTGAATTCAGATGCTTCTTTCCATACAACAGGTATCTGAAGATGTGCAAGATGCACTAATGCTGGCAGTTCATAGTTCTGTTAATAACTGAAAATTGGATTCAGATGCTTCTTTCCATACAACATTCCATCAGCAATTGATGTGAAATTATGTTGCAGGTGACTTTGAAAAAATATATCTGGCAGATGGAGAAGCGTTGAATGTGGTAGAGTGTGTGTACATGACACCCATTCCTATTGTTTCACAGACAGATGGTGGAAAACCACAGAGCTATGAGGAAATCTTGCAAGATGAAAATTCGAGCAAGTGGGAGCTAACGAAACTTCCACTATGGAAGAAGACATTACAAAACAAGTGGTTTTACCGGGTGAAGCCTGAGCTTGATGACAGTAAGATATAAAAAGCTAGACTTGTTGAAAAAGACTTTCAACAGAAGTAGGATAATGCTCATGCAGTGAGAGTTGTAAGCAGAGACAAGAGTAACCCAGAAAATAACTTGGAGGTGCAAGGCTATGTGGATCATGTTGATATGTTGACTAAGGGTGTTACTCTTGAGAAATTGAAGTTGTGCGCCGCTTCAATTGGTCTTCTGGTGTAAAGACAGGGTCTTTGAGTTGCAGAGATGGAGAATTCATGCTTGAAGAAAAGGGCTACGCCGTCAGTGGAAGATATTAGTTTGAGGAAAAAGATGTTGTAGTCTGTGTACCGGTCAAGTAAAAGTAGGCTTTCATGCCTATGCTCGCATACATCTTGTTCCATTGCATACGCTTATTTAAGCCTTAATTCTTGTACTCTGTGGGTGATAAGCTGAATGGGTGACGACCTCTTCTTTGCACTCTACAGCTACATGTTCATCTCGAGGTCTGTGGAAATCGCTTATTTAAGCCTTAATTCTTGTACTCTGTGGGTCATAAGCCGAATGGGTGACGACCTCTTCTTTGCACTCTACACCTACATGTTCATCTCGAGGTCTGTGGAAACCAAGTCTTTTTTCTCTTTGGATGAAAAAAATCACATGACTAATTCCTTCTATCAAGCAAGTTTTAACCTTGAGGAGTTAATCCTTTGAAGTAATCCTTCATGTTTTTTAAGAATGCAATATTGACTTTATCATAAATGAATCAAACTGAACAATAACTTAAAAATCACTGAAAATTAAGCAAGAATTACCATGGTTTTTCCTCAACTGATCTATAAACGTAGCTTTCGTTTTGCTTAATTTGGTTCATGTGTACTCCAGCTTTGTCTAGAATGTGTTGAATTTACTCCAGATTGACCCACTGTAGTTAAATTTCTTTTTCATATAAACAATGTTATGTCTAATGTATAAATTTATATGGTTTTGAATCAAAGGCAATTGCAAATATTTTCAGCATTGTTTTTAATCATTCGCGGTGTCCATTTGACTAAAAATAATACCAAAAGCTATGCTTAAGCAAAAAAGTGTGAATTCATGTCAACACATTTCTCTATGGTTTTTAGTAAATTTAGATTTTGGTGCTAATAACCAAGAAAATGTATTTGCTTTATTAGAGGATTTGTGTCAATGATTCATTTTACCCCCACTAATTTGATTCATAAATTTAATACAAAGTTGTTAGTGTGAAAAACCCTCAACTCTTAAACATCAGGATGCCTTCTGGTGTAGCAATCTGAATTTCATCAAAAACTCTAGAGTTAAGCATGCTCGTGCGGAAGAACTCCTAGGATGGTTGATCTCCTGTGAAGTTACACTAATGGGACAAAACTTTTAGGCTATTAGGCCAATTACAAAGAATATCTTGATGAATGAGAATTTGAGTTATTACAAATACTATTCAGAGCATTATACTAGTTTGAAGATAGGAATTTTTATGTCTGATGGATGATTCTAGGTTAAGAGCACTGATAAGGATGTCAGTTGCTTAAGTGGGATGAAATTATTAAATCTCTCAAGTAGAAGAAAGTTGAACTCTTAAAATTCAAGGAG